GAGTCGAGGACGAGGGGGAGTGAACTACATCGTCCGATCAGAAGACGGGGAGCTGTATAAGCTGTTCCGATCAGGGGAGTTCGTGCCAGAACGCGCGCTTATAAGACCAATAATAAGAGGCCATCATCGGCCGATCAATGCATTGCTGATCAGCTGATGGAGGGACATAGGGCGCCCGCGGTCAAATGAGCGACGCGGCCGGGCAGGTATGGGATCCGATAATTCCATGTTTCGGTGGATCACGGTGCTTGGGCTTCGATAGAGAGTAGGAAGTATTTCTCGATTCCGAGTTTTCCATGTTTTTGGGTCTGGTGACTGCATCTATTGCAATGGTGTCCGCCGGACGAGGTTTTGAGGCGATGGGGTCGCCACATCCGAACGTATTCCTCCCCTGCTTCCTCACTTGTTCGCCCGCTTTGGTGGTCTTGCTTAATGAGGCTTTCCGCAGAGAGCTGTCAATTGGGAGGGGCTCTATGAGAAACAGACGGAGCAAGCGCTGCGACGCTTCTCACGCGACACGCAATACGTCAGAACACAATCTTGTTCCCCACAAGCGGAATCGCTACCCAATGCCGCATGTGAGCCGGATCCTGCCCGCAGAACGGGATCCTACCTCTCTCCTCACTGTCCGAGCACTTGTCCTGGTTCAGGTCCACGTAATCTTGAGCTCGAAGTCCATTCTTCTACTCACAATCGTCGATCGTAGGTACTATCTTCTGGATTCCTCGCCTAGGTCGAGAACTTTGCTGACGCGAATGAGAAGCGAGAAGTCATCAGATCAGCAGAAGGAAAGACGAGTCGACTGAAAGCTTGAGAATTCCTGTAGATGCCTCCGCTGGCGCTCCGCGGTCAGAATTGTTTCGGCCCTTGAGCCGTGCTCGAGCTTGACGTCGCGAAGACGTGGACGACTTCTGTCTTCTTACGGATACGAATCGCGCTTCAAAGGTTGCCTATGCAGGAGAGAAATCATTTCGTCGCGACTGGGGTCCACAAATCGTCCAAAGCCCGAGCGAGAAATACCTTAGGATAAGTGAGCGTGGGCGTCGCATGAGGAACCCTTTTTTCGAGTCTGTATTACGGAATCGGATTACCTGGTTAAGATCTTCAGACGCTCTGTGAACGATACGAGAATCGATGGCATCCTTCAATGAGTATCACTTCATTAAATCGAGAGGATCGATCATTTTCACGCCTTCTTGTCTGATGAAACGACGAGAAACTCGACAATTTACAAAAAGTTTCGGTTAGACGTCTCGGAAGTTCATATCGATTGCGTCAGTGACGGCACCTCAACTTCGGAGTTTCCATCCGCCTACCTCTCGACACCGAGAACCCGTAGAGCTGTTGACAGTTGAGCACTGATTTTTATTTCAGCCCGGCCTTGGGCGAGATTCTTTCATGTGTGTTAATTGTCGGTTGCGACTCTGGAATAGGTCGACTGTCGAAGTATTCGACAGTGGCGAGTATTAATTTTACATATGTATAGTTCAGAGGAGTCTTCGGAGAATTCCGGGATTGTTCTATCCAGAAGCGAGCTCTCGTCGAGTGGTAGCTCTGCGTGGGTTGTCTTGTTTGGGACGAGCAAACAGTCGAACGAACGAACTGGAAGGGACCTGGATGCAAAACCCTTTGACAGTGCAGCCGCGTGAATGGATCGAGCCGAGAGATTTTGAGAAGCAGCGCTCATATAAACGTCGAAGTCGCCGTCTGTTTTCGGTTTCTCGCTATTCTTTCGCCTGCGTGCTCCCCTTCCTCGTCGATTGACTGACTGACTGGCTGCCAAGCGACTGTCAAAGTGCACTGACTTCGAAGTGTCCATCCACGCCGTGTCGGCGTACATCGCGGTCCGTCCGGCCGCTGGCGGCAGGCAACGTCGCTCGGTCGCTTTCTCTAGCGCTCGGCGCGACCGGCCTTGAGAACTGGTTCTGGTTCGCTCGCCGTCTGGTTGGCTCAGTCAGTCAGTCAGTCAGACAGTCGCTCGCTGCTCCGAACGACGAACCACGGGACTCACCGACTGACGCTGGTCGACCAAGCTGTTGGCTCTGAAGCGATTGACAAGCGAACGAGGGAACGAGGCTGCCGCTCGGACGACGCATGCGTCCCATGGATGGCACGGCGGGCGTTTTCGATATTCTCAGACGTCAACAGACGGGGGGAAGCTTGAGGCTAACCGGGAGAGCATCCGGATTGACCGGGGCTCGGAGTCGGGCATGCGTCTTGCGGAGGGCGTCGTCGAATCAGTCAGAGAGAAACAGACAAGCGATCCGAGCCGTTCCTCTGAAGGTGGATCACTCGAATGAGACCCGATGGGAGTTCCGACTGAACTCTGGGAGCTTGGGTGTCGTCCGTCAGTGTACTTGCGCGTCGAATGCACCGTCAGAAGTCGTTTTCTCGAGGCCTGCCATGATTCAGTCGCGTATCCGCTTGACAATGACCGCTCGCCCCGGTCGTTGGGCGTGCAAATGATATACTTTCTCGCGGAATAATGACCCACCAACACATCAGCGAAGAGAATGAATATGCAACAGAGTAACTGCTTTTTGAATACTCTACGTTTTGACCACCCAAGCTCTGACCACCACTCTGCCCTTATCCCTTGCGGGAAATCTGCGCCGACATGAAGTAAATTCATCTTATGTCATCGTTTCCGGAGACAATATCGTCCCGACAAACGATCAGACCGAGCGATGGAATTCGGCAAATTCATAGGATTTATTCCTCTTTCGGGAAATTCGAACACCGCGAGCCAACTCTGCTGTCGACGACTCGGACCGCTTCCGATGGACCGTGTTGCTGTGAGACTAGAGCGGAATGGAAATGGAGCTCGGACTCGAGCACCGGGAAAAAATTGTCCGAGTGCGGTCTTGCGGGACTGTTTTGTGCTGCATGGGGGAAAAAAGTAATCGAGAAACGATGCTCTCTAGAACGAGACCCACTCCAGCGTGGAGTTCAGCTCCACGCGGGTGTTTGTGCGTTATATTCTCGATCGATAAGAGACATTAAATCGTTTGCATAATGTTCGGGAGGGAGACTCTCTCTGAAAGTGAGCCAGCTCCCTGCGGCTCGTTCACGAGGGACGACGACGGGCCCTGCGCGGAGGACCCTGTTCGTGGGGGGAATTTCATGGACGAGACCGGTCGAGATAGCCGATGCACAGTTCGCCGTTCCTGGAAGGGGATTCAGCTAGACGCTGCTTTCAAAGGAAACCGTTCGGAGCTCTCTCTTCGAGGCCAGTACGTATCGATCGGAGCGCCATCTTATGAATAAACTCAGGACACTACGTAGGCAAGCGAGACGCACTCTCCGGATGTATTCGAGAGCATTACGAACTCCAGGCGCTTTGTACCTCGACTGATCGATCGATGCCGTGGGCTGCGCGCTGGATGCTTCGGGGACAAATGCAGATGGATTCTCACGAGGAGACACAAACGACGAGTCCAATTGAGAGACCCGTCGATGACTGCCGTCGGCCCACGAGGGTTCACGCCACGTCGAGAACAACCGAACTCGCTTTCTCGGTGGCCTGTGGAGCCTCATCTAGAGAGAGGTATCGATCGTCGGAAGTTCAGGTCTCGTGGACAGGGAGTGAAAAACAACATGCGCCCACATAATGTATACTGGCCGAAATTGTATCATTTGCTAGCCGGGCTCGGCGGCGCGGTTTATACCGAACCGCTTGATATTATTCTGGATCCACTACTCTATCGGCAAAACTTTTCGATCCTCACGGGCTCAGAGGACTGCTTCCCGAAGACGCGTCAGGGAGGGTCGAATGCCTCTTCCTCTCTCTCGTTGCCGATATTCCCGGGAAAAATTAGTCTTCAGAGGGGAGGGCTCCCCCAGATATAGGGCTCCCCCTTCCTCTAAATGACAATCGAGGCTGTGCTGTGCATTCGGGAACTCAAGTTCTCGGTAGATAGTCCACCCGAACACGTGACGGAAAGTTCCTGGTGGAAAGTCAGCGAGCGTTCAAAAGTTTCATCGAAATTCGCGCAAAAAAGTCTAAATTCCAAAGTTGGCCAACGGCTGACATGCGGGCACGGTTCGGACTGCGGTTCACTCAGCTTTTCTACTATTTTCTCGTCGCAAAAAAGAACACAAAAACTACAGTCCGATTATGCGAGACTCGGCCGATGTAGTTTAAGCCAGCGCGAGTTCGGACGCTACTGTCCGTTTGGTGGGAGGCGGTATCCGTCCACTTTCTCCGGGTTGTTGGTTCCTCTGCCGAAGAACGCCATGCGTGTGTACCAAAGCGGCAGTTGATAACGTACGCAACAAGGGCTACGACTCGAGACTTCCAAGGGTGTTGTTGTCGCCTTCCGAGTTGCATAACGGTTCTCATTATGAGTGTGAAGTGGATTGATTCATCCATTCCCTGCTTCATAAGTCCTGCATGCACGATGTAAACGCCGACCGCTCTTCTCACCCGAGCGCGATCGATATTGCTCCCTAACGACATGTCCCGTGGAAAAATCGCCACATGTCTAATGTTGAGCATGTAAAGCTCCCCGTGTGTACGGCACAAGCTCACAAACGTTTCACATGAGCTTGCGTTATTCATCCTCGCTGTTGTCATCTGATGGCGAAGGCTACAATGTTCATGGGACTTCCGGGAGAAAACGGTCAGATCCGAGCCGAGAAAAACTCGCTTTCATTGTCGCGAAGCACGATGCTGGACGGCATATTTCGCCAAGGGTGAAGGTCGCCTCGAAGAACCGGGAGCGTAACTTCAAACTTATCTCATCAAGTCCAGGAACGGCCTTCCGCAGAAGCGTCTCGCGGTTTAATCCTCATCCAAATGAAAATGTTCCCGCAACGTAATATTCAAAACTCAAAATTATTCCGAAATTAGATTAAGTAAGCGTGTGGGTCGAGATTGTCACTGCGGAGACGCATGGAGATATGATTCTGACACCCGAAGGAACACCGCGGAAGCGGAAAATGGGCTCGCTCTCGAATCTCCTGGAACACAAATTTAATTTTTGTTCTTTCCTTTGCAGAGAGGCACGGACGAATTATTAACCGTGAATGGTGGCATGGGTCCTCTAGCCACAGTCACAGACAACAACAACGAGAATGCCAAAAAGGTGAGTCTGGTTTCTCTGAACGATTTCGCCAAATCTGATCATACCGGCCCGCTCCGAGGAGGAACGTTCAAGGATTGCAGTACTGATACCCGCCCCTTCTCCTCGGTCCGCGAAGATCAATCCGCAATATCCGATAACTTTTCTTTATCCGCAGATACGCATGGAGAAAGCCGCTGCTGCCCAAAATAACAACAACCTTGCCACGGCAAACAACAACAACAACACAACAAGCAACAACAATAACAATAGTACGAGTCCCAACAACAACAACAATAACAACAGCAAAAGCAGCACTGCAAACAGTAACAATGCGGCACCGCCAAACAACAATGCGTCGATGACGTCGTCACCGTCAACTTCGCCGTCTCAGACTTCTCGCGTGGTTCATCTGCGGAACGTTCCGAACGATGCGAGCGACTCCGAGATTCTGCAATTGGGAATCCCATTCGGGAAAATCACCAATATTCTCCAACTACGGTGAGTTCAGCGGGAGTCTTTCAGGAGATCGAGTACAGAGCGGAAGTTGCCGGGCCGGAAAGAAGACCTCCGAAATTTCCCTCACTCCGATGGGGGAATTTTTCGTCTAAGGAGGGCTCCTCTTTTGAATACGCTCAAGCGTCGCCATATAGCGCGTCGGTTGTTCTCGATCACCGGTTTCGTCCGATCCGCCTCCACATTGAGAAAGCTGTTGTAGTCATGGTTTCTCCATATCGGCTCCTTAACACTCTCGGACGATTCTTGGTTGCAGGGGCAAGAATCAGGCGTTCCTTGAGATGGAGACCGAGGTTTCCGCTGGACAAATGGTCGAATACTTTGCCAAGACTTCGTCACCTCCACAAATCCGCGGTCGCACGATTTACGTCCAACAGTCGAATCACCGCGAATTGAAAGTCAACGATAATGGGCATGGGATGTTACTCAACTCGACGCAGGTCGCGTTGGCCGCCGCCCAGGCTCTCGTGGGTCTTCAGCAACAGCATGGTTTGTCTCCACGAGCCAGCGGAGACGTAGGCAGTGGGGAAATCAGCCCTACACACAATGGTCAAACCCTAAACACTGTGCTACGCGTGATCATCGAGAATCAGCTCTACCCCATCACCTTGGACGTCCTCAACAGCGTGAGTCGGCGGTTCCGGAACTCGAAATGGGATGGCATCGATAGTAATCGAAGAGGCCCGCCTCGACGTATTTTTTTTATTATTATCACTGATCCGCGTTCTTCTCTCTTTTAACAGCTCTTCAGCCGGATAGGCAAGGTGCTAAAAATCGTTACGTTCAACAAGAACAGTAAGTTGTCAACAAGGGCCACGTCTCATGATTCTGATCACGAGGCGGAGGATGAAGCTAGAAACCTGGAGATCCAGAGAAAAATAATTAAAATGATCTCCCCCCTACCCTTCCAGACACCCTGCAAGCTTTGGTGCAGTACGGGGACGCCCTAGCAGCGCAAGCGGCCAAAATGACTCTGGATGGCCAACACATCTACAATAGCTGCTGCACCTTGAGAATCGAATATTCGAAACTCCAGCAGCTGAATGTGAAATACAACAACGACAAGAGTCGCGACTTCACCAACCCCTCGCTCCCGACCGGTGACCCGACCCTGGATAACTTGGGTCTCGCGAACCCATTGGGTATGCTCCATTCGCCTTTCGCGAATCTCGGATCTCATCTCACAGCTGCTTTCAACCCACCGACGCTCCCACTCGGGGGCTTCGCGCTCCCCGCAGCTCAGGCCCTCGGAGTCGCCAGCCTCAGACTGCCCGGAACGCCGCAGTCATGTGTCCTGCTGGTCTCCAACCTCAATGAACAGGTGATTATCAGGAGCTTTCCTCCTCGAGCTCCATCTATCCGCGCGAAATTCAGTCCATCAGCTGTTCGGTGAAGCTGCTGTCTCACCCTGAATCAAGCGATCGATGAATGAATCGGCGAAGGCTCACGTGAAGGTGGCACCGGTGGTACCTCGGTTGTCGACTTCTGTTCTCCGTCGAGGATCTTTGTCTCAGCGCGGCCGACCTACATTCGATCTCCTCTCACGATTCTTCATGGAGTTCGTTGCTGTTCCTCATCTAAATGGAACTTCTTCTCTTCCTTTCCCGACTCCTCCACCCTTGACAACTTGACCACTCTGATTCATGGCTGCCTCATCCGTCTACCTCATCTCCCGGATTCCTGGCGCTGCTCTGCTGGCTGTTCGTCTGTCATTTGCATCCATACAAATACCACAATCCACAACTGATCGCGACAGACTGTCACACCAGACGCCCTCTTTACGCTTTTCGGTACGTTGTTTGCTTCGGCGCAGTGAAATCCTCTCCTCTCATTCTCTTGGTGCCCTCTTCCCAGCGCTCCTACTCCCCGATCAAAGCTCTTCTGCACCGAACTGAAATCTCACTCGAATTTTTTAGGAGTGTACGGCGACGTGATTCGGGTCAAGATCATGTTCAACAAGAAGGACAGTGCCCTCATTCAGATGGCTGAGCCACAACAGGCACATGTTGGTAAGAACATCCGCTCCGAACTCCGTCACGTATGATCGGAGGTGCAACTCGTACGTGGATGATGGGATGCCCAACGGGCATTCCTGTCGGACCTCCATTAGCCGGAGATCTTCGAGGGCAGGAGAATAAGAACGAAATCGTTTCTTCCATGCTCGCAGCGATGACGCATCTCGACAAAATCAAACTATTCGGGAAACAGCTGCGTGTGACTCCATCCAAACATCATATGGTGCAATTGCCGAAAGAAGGGCAGCCCGACGCCGGCCTCACGAAAGACTATATCAGTAGCCCTCTGCACCGCTTCAAGAAGCCTGGATCAAAGAACTATCAGAACATCTACCCACCTTCGGCCACGCTGCATCTGTCCAACATACCGTGAGTTGCCCCCCTCTCCAGCCCTCCTCGGGATTGCTGAATGACTGTCATCTTCATTTTCAAGCATTCTCTAGGTCTCGATTTCGATATCGGGCAACCGAGTCGACTCCCCTTTCGAAATGTGAAGGTTCTGCTTAGATTGAATGAATTCGCTCAATTGCAGACCGACTTGCGGCGAGGAGAAGATACAGGAATCCTTCGCTGAAGCTGGATGCGCTGCGATAATGGGATTCAAGTTTTTCCCGAAAGATCGGAAAATGGCCCTCCTACAGTTGCCTTCCGTCGAGGACGCCGTCGTTGCCTTGATCAAGATGCACAACTATCAACTCTCAGAGTCGTCCCATCTCCGTGTGTCGTTCTCCAAGTCCACCATTTAAAGCAAGCCCGGCAGCTGAGTCGGTTGCCATCATCAAACGGGACCAAAGCACTGAGTCGGAACGGGGAAAGTTTTGACGAAGTGTCAGTGGACTTAGTTCAAACAGCCATTTCAAAGTGATTCAAGGAGCGATTGCTGAACCGATAGATGGACAACCAACCAACAAACCAAACAAACAAAAAACAAACAAACCAACCAACAAGGGAGTGAACATACAACAAGGATTCGATCCGACAAACATGCGAAAAAGTCCCTCAAGGGGCAACGAGAATGCCCTCAAGCGGCAACGAGAATGCCCTCAAGCAAGACTTTCGATTCCTTTCTCTCTTTCTGTGTCTCAAACAAGATTTCTCATTACTATCCATCCATATATATCCAAGCGTCGACTGCTGATCGATAAACGAACCTACCTACCTACCTACCTATCTACCTAGCTAGCTACATTATAAACATGTTTGAACCTATAATAATCCTTCATTGAGCGTGATCGTACCATCGGATCACAGTACGGCTCTTGTTTGCCCTCATCTGTGTTATATGCGTTTTTCCCTGACTGCGTTGAGCGGATCTATTTATGCAACAGATGCCCGTGTGCAGGTACGACAAGATATGATCAGCCTTGGTCGTTCCGGACCGGGTCCCACCCGAAACGAGCGTTGAGCGATACGCGGATCAGCTGACGATCACGTCCCGCTCTTGTGATTGTTCTTGATTCGGGCTGGCTCCAAAGGAATCTTGGGAGTTTCGGATCCTCGCGAGTTGATTCTCAAGTATCGAGCGTTATCGAAGTGATCTGAACATTTTTCTCCGACGCCGGATTGAACGAGCCTCGTTCAAAGATGAATCGGCAGAAAAATGGGAAACCAACCACCCACCTGAACGATCTTGATTTCTGTGTCATCGATTGATTTGCCTTTGACGCCGATTTTTTTCCGATTCTCCTTGGGACCAAAACTTCCATCATTATACGATTGCCTCCGCCGGAGCACGCTCCGTCCACTTGAATTCTGAAACAGTATCCTGACGAACTCTGGCGATACGGCCGTGGCCCGGGTTGTGAGAGTCCGAGACTTCGGCGGAGTCCGTCCGGGATAGCCGTCACGCCGGAGCATCGTCCGGCAAAAATGATCCGTACAGCTAGTCAGTCATGTTTTTGCCGGGAGAAGAGGGACGATGGAGCAGGAGAGAACCGAGGCACCTCGTGAATCGGAGCTCTCCTCCAGACTCACTCTGCTCCCGGAACTCCGGCGTAGAAGTCCGTAATTGATATCCGGAACATTGATATCCGGCAAGGAGCACACCGAGCGAGAATCGAGCAGATATGCTTGCCGGAAAGACCCGTTTGATTCCTCCACGCCGGAAAACTCGCTTGAGTGCCGGAGCGTAATCAGAGGATCATGACCAGACCGCCCGACCACAATCTCAACCCGAGTGTAGACTCGCGAGCAGACCAACGATTTTTTTTCAATCGCAGCTCCCGAACTTAGCTGTCGAAGCCTCTGAACAAATCCCCGATCGCGCACGCGAAAGAGTGCTGATTTTTTTCATGGTGCAGCTTGGAATTCGATGTTCGAAATGCATAAGGATCACCTCGTGGAGCTGATTCACTGGAGGGATTATTTCTTGTTGTACACAATAACTTATAATCGAAACCCCATGATTTGATCGGGAAGTGCGACCGATCGAGTTCTTTGTTGAATACGAAGGAAACGGGAAGCGAAGAAGCAGGCGGAAGCAAGCAGCTTTCGCAACGCTTCTGAACACACAGACGATGAATGCAGTGCAGTAGATGCGATAACAGAAGCCACTGATTGTTTTTTGAGGTGGCGAAGCCAACGACTCGTGTGGACGCAATCGATCGTGTGAGCACGACATCAGCGTGGAGCCTGCGAGAAACGAGGAACATTTGAATCCGAAGCCATTCGGGAAGTACTGGCAGGCCAGAATCGAGTTTCGCTACTTTTACCAAACCAACTGAAGACGAAGACGGAACGATCTTGAGAGTTATTCACGAATAGTAAAAACTAAGAACTATTCCTTGCAAGTGCAAAAAGACGCAGAGTGCAATGAACCGGGTCAGAATCCCCCATCAGGTACTCGAATGCCAGGTGGCTCGATTCCGAAGGGACTCGAGCGTCGACTGTGGGAAGGGAATTTATTTTCTTCCGAGTTCTTCGACATGCTGAGAGTTATCCTCGACCTTGTATGAAGACTCGTCGACCCGGGGCTCCATCCTACTTGCCAAATTCAGCCGTATACCGGACAAGTTCAACATTTTCAGAGAGTTTTCACGTCGCCAGCGGAGCTGTCCCTTGAGAACAATAGTTTTTCCGAGATGGAATGGTATTTCCGAAAGTATATCTGGGGATACTTCATGAAGACTGTGGTATTATTCGGAGCCTTGTTCACGAGCGCGTTGGCTTTGTGATCCTCCTCGGGAAATAGTAGTTAGTAGACTTAAAGAAGTGATTTGATTTTGGCCAGGAGTATTGTCGAATGCCTTCATGTACCAAAGCGTGTACAGGGAGACGTGGCGCGAGCCGCGAACTTATATGTGAGTAACTCCCCTGCAATGTTAAGGGGTATGTTGCCCAAGTATTACCAAGTGTTAGCAGTTATTCAATTGTGTATTGACTACGAGCATTATTATCAACTGATGACTGAGTATACGAACACCCTATCTATATCGATCATCGTCACTATTAATATTACCCTAAGAGAGAGGAGCGTCCGGACGAATCGTCCTATCGAAAATCTTTTCTCTCGCTCTTCTTCTTCATTGATTCAGTTCGTCTTCTCGCTGTGTCGGCATCGTCCGATTCCGTGGGGTTTCTCCGGATTCCTAGTCGTTCTCTGGGGCGGAACTCCACATCTGTAGCAGCGGTTGACAGCTCTTTCCCCCGGGGTTGATGAATTTCGCACGGCCGGAGCGTCTCGCTGATTCTCCCTTCCGCACAGCGACGCCTCGAGTCGAATGTTCGGGATTCCGAACGCGTCCCCTCTTTGAGAGAACAAAGAAAAGAACAAATTCCGTCGATGAAGTCCGTCGAAGATCGAAGAGAAAAGATCCTATGCATTGAAGAATGGATGGATGGCTATGAGAGTCGATTGATATCATTAGCATGAATGAAACAAAAAGATCTTTATCGAAAACGACAACCACCACGACCTCGACGAGAATGAAACAATGAGACACAGGAACGTAGCATATCGAACCGCTGCAGAACTCGATGCCATCCTGTTTTTTGGCGTCGACTAGATTTGATGATGATCATGATGATGGATGATAGTTGTAAGCATTTTGTGCATCGCCGTTACGAACTTTGAACGCGATTCGAATCGCCGCACAGAGACTGACAGCAGCGATGTTTTCGTGCGCATTCATTCGCTACTGACGCTGTATTTTCTAACTGAATGAGGAGAAGTGCCTTCGATGTAGTTTCAGGGGTTAGCTCAGGTGAGGTCTCATTCGACTGGCGCGACTCGGCTCACTTCGCCGCTTCGGCAGGCCTCGGCGGGTGTCCGTCGTCACAACCGCCGAAGTCCGTGTTTCGAGCGGATTCCCGCCGACGGTCTATCACTTCGCGCGTCGGTCGAAGCCGTCCCAAGTCGAAAGACCCCGCTCTCTATTTTTCATACCCACCACCAAGACAAGCAACAAACTTACAATTACCTACTGACGAATCTAAAAACTTGCAAATGAATCATCTCAGCGAGAGCGTATCCAGGAGTCGGAGCTCTGGTACGATTCATCATATCACGACCTCTTAGTGAACCTGTGAGAGCTCGCTGCGGAGACCGGTCGTATGGACGAGCCGATCCCGTTCTGTGATGTTCTTATCTCATCACTGAAATTCTAGTTTCAATCGATAGCCGATCGCGAGCGATCGCGTATGGGTTTGGTTGTTATCGTCGAAGTTGAGTGAAGCACCAATGCTATCTACATTCGCATCGGATGAGGACATAATCACGAACAAACAGACTGGAACCAAGTAGGGAACGAGGAAGGTCAAGCAGAAGAAAAACGAACTCAACAACCTGCATACAACACATTGGGATGGCCCAAGGCATTTAGAGGCATTTATTGAAGCGAAAATTGATCATCGAGCAAAAAGGAAATGAGAAATCAACTTGTGTTGTCGTCTGCATTCGTCACCCGAACCAATGACTTGAAACTTGAAACCTCGCGACCTGTTGATTTTCTGACAGTCAACCGATCGCACGTTTCGATGTCGCTCCTTATCTCTTGAATCAACTCTACTGACATCTATATAAAGCGCATTATACCTTAAGAACCTTGTTTTCATTCTGCGAAAGCATCTCTCAGGTTTTTCATCAGGGAACTGCGGCGACGTGCCGTGAGCGAAGACTCGAGGGAGGATTTCGAAGAACATCCTAGCCCTTGATGAACAGGGTCTCATGCGCAGAGCACCTCGAGCATTGGTTGGTTCGAATTCGGAGACTGCGTACGCGGGCAATACGTGCCGAGAGAGTCGCGCACGTCATTCGCCGAAACAAGGACCGGAATTCCGATGTTTCTCATAGCTGTTGGCTCGTCTCAGCCATCCGTGGACAAGCTCGAAGCGGATCATTCAAGTGGAAGTCAGCTCGCCCATGTTAGCTGCATCCGTCAGGCGAAGTCTCCTGCGATATCGAGCACAAACTCACCGAGGACAGAGATAAAATTCTGGGCGAGCCGTATCATAGTCTAGAAATCCAACGATTTGACCTACTTTCTTCATGGAAAATGAGACCTGTCGCTACATTCGATATCACACGGCACCCCGTGAGGGAGGGAATCGGGACCACTATCAGAAAGGATTAGATATCGGGGGCTCCTCCTCCGGCTTGCCTGTCTCACAGGGTCCCGAACCCGGGGTTCGCTCATTCGAATGGACAGGAATTCCGTTGCACACTCTCAGGGTCTCTCATCATTAGGGCTGGAGATTTTTCGCGGAAATTCCTGGCTACTCCTCATAGAGTTCCAATGGGGGCCGCGAATCTATG